ATAAACTAAGAAGTTTATTTGAAATCAAGCATAGTGACACACCTTTAATCCCAGCACTCAGAAAACAGAGGCAGGCAGATCTCTGTGAGTTCAAGGCCAGTCTACACAGCCAGAGCTCTCTCCAAAAAAGAAATCCAAATAATTAAAATTTATTTGAGGGGCCATTAAGATGGGTCCAAGTAAAAGTGCCTGTTACTGCCATGTGTGATGGCCTGAGTTCAAGTCCCAGGGTCCACATGCTCAAAGACTCCAATCTTCCATTAAAAATTAAAAAAAAAAGACCTCCACATGGGCACTGTGACATACTCACAAATACACATAATACATGCATGTAAGTAAAGTAATTTTAAAAATTATTTGATTTAGATACATGATGAGTTTGAAACCTAGGTTATGCAGCATCACATGGAAAAGTGACCATGTGGAGCTGAGGGCATAGTTTAGTGGTGGCGCACATGCTTAGCTTCTGTAAGACAGAGAGATCCTGTCTCGAAAAACCAACACACACACACACACCCTGAAGAAGTAAGAGGACATACAGGTGCCAGCCAGGCTTGGAAGATTCAATTTTTAGCCCTCTGATGGCAGCCTATGGCCCAGGTGCATATGGGGTCTCTAGAGCCCCACAGATTAGGAAATGGATGTTGTTCTGACAGTTTTGCATGTGGTTACAGGGCAGTCAAGGTGACAGCAAGAATGCCAAGAAAAAGAACAATAAGAAGACCAACAAAAACAAAAGCAGCATTAGCCGCGCCAACAAGAAGAAGCCTAGCATGCCCAATGTGTCCAACGACTTGTCCCAGAAGCTATATGCCACCATGGAGAAGCATAAGGAGGTAATGGCATAGTCTTGTGGGAGTTTACAGGGATACTCAGAATCTGGAGGAACAACAGGCACCAGGCCTGCTCTGCTGAGGCTCCCTGTAGAAGTCTTTGATAGAAAGGAGGACTACCTCTGTATAATGTGGAACAGTGGTTTCTTAATACATTGTATGGCTTATCATTAGTTGTTCCATCACAAGAAACCAGGGCCTCAAGCAGGCTCTGGGTTTGGTTAAGTAAGATGTGGCCCTGCACTTGGCACATGCTGTCTCTCTGTGGAGTTTAATGCAGCGCCTCTTTTCAGGTCTTCTTTGTGATTCATCTGCATGCTGGACCTGTTATCAGCACTCAGCCCCCCATCGTGGACCCTGACCCCCTACTCAGCTGTGATCTCATGGATGGGCGTGATGCTTTCCTCACTCTGGCCAGAGACAAGCACTGGGAGTTCTCTTCCTTACGCCGCTCCAAATGGTCCACTCTGTGCATGCTGGTGGAGCTGCACACACAAGGCCAGGACCGCTTTGTCTATACCTGCAATGAGTGTAAACACCACGTAGAGACACGCTGGCACTGTACTGTGTGTGAGGTAAGCCCCACCACCTCCCCTCTGACCTTTCCCCATAGGTAGATGTAGAATTCCAGCATCAGGAATGGATGTAGATGTTGTCATCTCTACACAACACTGTTTGTGCTTTCTCTCCCATCATGGGGAGCCAGGCATGAGTGGCACCCTTGTTGTCCTCTTATTTTGTGCCCTTGTCCGCCACAGCTACAGGCCATGTGCTGAGGCAGCCTGACTCTGGAAAGACTTTGGAACACTTTGATTCTACAGGAATTCCTGTGTATTTATCTCTTCCTAGCCTTGCTAAGGGCTTAGGGATGCCTTTTGTCCTAATGACAGGTTGACACCTTTGATCAGGTCTAATGGCAGGACTTTCATGTCTCCTGTCTTCAGCATGTAGAGCTTGTCCTGGTCAGGGCAAAAGCTGTCTAACTCTTCCTTCTTCGCTCACCTTTCAATTCTTGTTTTTCCCGAACATTCTCCAGGCTTCTCTGTCCTTTCTACTTCACTATTTTACGATTTTTTTTTTTTTTTTTTTTTTTTTGTTTTTCGAGACAGGGTTT